CAAGAACAAATTTGAATTTAAAATAAAATGTCAGAAACTGCTTGACCTGTTGTTGCCCAGTCTTGTCGGCATCATGTCATGTGAGATGCTTGATATGTATTTTGAAGTTTACTCTACATACATTTCCTTTTCTTACATCTCCTGAGAACTGAGACAAACATATAGGGCAATATCCTGGTTGCCAACTTGGGCCCCTGTGACTTTTCTCATTCTCATTATTCATTATCAAGCTTAAGAAATCAGAATAATAATTGTACATAAAGAGAAGCAAGACTCTGCCTGTACCTTAGTCAAGAACTTTTGAACTTTCAAAAGTAAATTTAAAATCCATAAGCCATCAATTTGGACTTTTCCTAATTTACAAAACCTGAAATAACATATCGGGAACCAGCCCTGGAGCTCCCTTACTGTAAACCATTATTACAAGTCACAAATAGTAAGAATTCAGGACTGAAAGAAAATTTTCATCAGAGAGGAATTTCATCGACAGGACAAAGGGGATAGAAGGAAACATGGCCAGTGTCATGTCTCCTGTTGCAAATCAAAACCAAATCGAAACCTTATGTGAAAGTGAGAACTGAAACAATTGATTGTTTTTCATGTCCACAGACACAAACTGCAAAAGTACCAAGTTCAACCTGGAACAGCTCACGCTGAGAGAGAAAGCTGATAAATGCATCTGCCATCAATGCCTTTACCTCCATTTCAACTTCTAGCTGAGAAAATTTCCAACTTCATTCCCTCTTCAAATTAATGGCCTGGATGATGGAAAATATAGCACTCTGGATATAACTTTACATCTTGACAATTGGTCTTTGTAGAATGCAATATTTGTTCAGTGGAAGATTGTCATGGTTATTTGGATTGCTTACTTGTGGTAATGACTTAAGTCATCATCACATTGCCTTTCCTTCCTTCACAATCATCCCATAATGAGATATATAAGAACAAAGAACAATAGAATACTGGTGTCTATACTAATGAAGACCTTGCCAGTTATGAAAAAATAAGATGATTCAATAGACTAGAAGAACTAGTTTGGGCTACTCCACTGCCAGAAAACTTGGGTGGAGAGAAAATATATAAGTAAAATGAAAGAGAACAAACAGTGTTTAGGGAGAGTTGTGGGGTTCTAGGAAAAAGAACACTTGTGGACTAGTCCAAATGCCTTGTTTTTTACTCCTTTCCTCCTTTGAGGATAATAGTGTTGAATCAGTCGATCATCTACCAGTTTTCAACTGCTGTTGCCAGTCATAACACAGAAACCACAGATTTGCAAAGCCAGTGTAACATAGCATTAGTAGGATAAGTTAAAGAGCACGTCTACACACAGAAACATTAAATAAGTACAAATTGCCTCAAAAAGAAATGTGAAAAAAAAACTGTACAAAAAGTGACAAGTCATCAAAAAATTGAAATAATTATACCAGTATAAAAACAACTAAAAGTTGCCACTCTTGCCAAATTAATCCACAAAGGAAATACAATTTCAATCAAAATATAAAGTCTGGATTCTGAAATACATAAATAAAACATTAGTATAAGTAATAATATATGTAGAGAAATGTAAGTTAGAAAATATACATAGAAAATATACATTAGATGATATGTATGGACACACACACAACACACGCACGCGCCACGCACTACTAGTAGGTTAACAAAGAAGCTAACTCTAATTAGGATATTGCACTTGTCTGAAAAGGAAAAGTGTCTTTCTTGTAACTCCGATTAAGAATGACTGCCCTAACTGGAGAGATGGCTCAGCAGTTAAGAGCACTTACTGCTCTTGTAAAGGACCCAAGTTTGGTTCCCAGAGCTCATGTCAAGTGACTGATAACTACCTATAACTCTAGTTCGAGGATTTCCCACACCTTCTTCTGGCCTCTGTGGCACTGAATGCATGTGGTGCACATATATACAGGCAACACACTAGACACAAAATAGAAATGAATAAATCTTTAAGGAAAATGAATGACCATCCTAGGCAAAAACATGGAAAGAAAAACAATTTTATATAAACTTACATATTTATGTACACATATATGTATATATTAAAAGGAAGTTACTGCTATAAAAGACTTAATTTTCCTGAATAATCAAATGTAACACACACACACACACACATACACGCACTACCAGAATGAGTAAACATATGTGTTTGACATTTGCCAATGGCCATTCTTCAATTGTTGCTACAGTTACCATCCAAGACAACTCAGTAAACTAAAACATGGAAAAAGAACTTTATATGGTTCAACACATGATAATTTACAAGAGAAAGAGACAATTGTGCAATTTCTAAAGGTACTAAAGTCAGCATAGTGTTCCTAGGCTTCTCTTAGGCTGGAATATATTGTGAGAGGGTACTTAGGACAGAAGCCTGGTCACAAGACAAACAGGAACCCTCCTCAATCAATATACACATGCGCTACGGAGGCAGAAGTAAATTCTTCTCACAGCTGGCAGAAGCAAATGCCACCCATAGCTGCCCACCTCAAAACCTAGTAGTAACTCTTAACAAATCAGTGCTAAGAGAGAGGGAACCACTTGGTGAGGGCTGTGCTGGTCCATGAGGGACACTAAGTGAGTACAGTGAAGTAGAAACTGCTCTGATTATGACACATGGGGGCCCAGCAAGGACCCAAGGGTTCAACAGTACACTAACCAGCAAGGAAGGTATAAGCCCACAGCCCTGCGTGCATTTCTGCTGGGGGGAAAGAGGGGAAGGGCTTCAAACCACACAATCTCCAGGAAAATAGGTGGCTGGGGAGGCCAGAGAAATTAGTATTAGACAAAGAGCCTTTGGTCACCTCATGCAAATGTACTAATGAGGTGAGGCAAATCCAGGGCTCTTTCTGGGAACTGGAAGGCACTCCATAGCAGCAAGTTCAGATGATGGAAAACATGGCTCAGGCAAGGGCACATCTCCAGAGAAGTGGGGTGACAAGCCCAGCATGGAAGACCTAGTTCAGTGGTGGTGTTGCAAAAACCCAGCAGAAGGCAGGTAAAATTTGGGATCAGGGGCTCAGGGCTATGTTGATCTTGCGTTGTCTGTGACTAACAGGATAGGAGCCCCAGCGGTCCTGTTCGGGCTCTAGTTGGTGGCAAGCTGCCAATTCCCATCATGTGCCTCCTGAAGAGGAAGACACACAGGGTACTGGGCATCTACCTGGCACCACCACAACCGATCAAGGGCTGAGGGGGAAGACAAGAGAGCTGAGCATCTACACCCAAGGAGTGTTTTCAGGAGGACACTGCCAGCACATGGGCAGGAGGGAGTGACTTTGGCCAGGACCATGTGGTGGAGATACTTTAATTCCCGATAGCTCCCCCATGACACGGCTGCTCAGAAGATGCAGAGGAAACTGCAGAGGTCCTCTTCGAGTTAGGAGTCAGCTACAGTCTTCAAGCCTCAAGTGCTCAGGAGATGTAGGACTACGCACAGAAATGGGAATTTGGAGTTCAGTAGTGTGTAGAGGAGAAGAGAGGCACATGCTAATTGGGGCCACAAGCTGGGAGGAAGGAGAGGAGCCTCTGTTTTGCCTCTGTGCTGAGATTAAAGAGGCTGCACAGTGAAGGCTCACTGAAAGACAGCACTGGCAAAGCAGGCTGGATCAAGACAAGAGGATGCAGGAGCTGTTTGAGGGAAAGCCTCCTTCACAGCAGATCACCAGGCCAGAGTGTGGACCCCTAGGCCCAAAGGAAGGAATCAGCCAGTAGCTGTTGGGAAAAAAAGACAGGTCCCTTAGTCAGCCCAGGCAGTCCCAAGATATGAGTCATGATGGCTGTGTGCTATGGCAGTAGCCACAGGTCACTCTCTGACTATCCAAGGTCCCAGGCACTGAATTGGGGCATTTATCAACTCCCGGTTGGACAGCTTGTCAGAGCTGGTGCAGGGACAGGACAGGCACCTGAGCTTACTGATCCTCATTGGTGGTGCTGGGAACACAGTGCAAGCAGGAGGGTTGGAATCCCACTCATGTGGGGAGGCAGAAGTGGCAACGAACGTTGTGTGCTGTGCTAGGAACAACAGGCATTAGGCAGGTCTCTGTGCATACAGACTGCTGGTGCACAGGACACAGTGCCCCATAACAGCATCCCAGGGACGTTGAGCAGGAGAGGACACCTGGCAAAGCAGCAGCGTCACACAGGGAAGCAAGTGTATCCTGCTTTGCCATGGCTTTGTGAAGGCATCCACTGCTGGACACATCACAGCCACAGGGAAACTGGCTTTGGTGAAGCAGGATCTAATGGGAGTGGAGGGGTTAGAGGTGGGAATGGGGTGCATGGAGGAATGAGATAGCCAGATCCGGTTGTATGGTTCTGCACACAGGGACACTTTGCTTCCTGGTAGTGGTGTGTCGACCTCAGAGAGGTATCGTGGCTATCTCTAGGTGAATGGACTGGCCAAGGCCAGTCATGACAAGCACCACCAGCATGCCTCCCACTATTCTCATGGGGGAGTGCAGCAGGACTCCACTGTCCCCTTTCAGAAGGAGCTGGGAGAGAAAGGCCATTCCCCCAGTGAACAGCAGCCAACTCTCTCATTCTGTCAGGAAGCAGCGAAGGAAGCATGGATGAAGGGTTTTGACGGCATCTCAAGGGGACACACGGACACATATGAAGCAGGGGCCAGTCAAATGGCAATCTTTATCGGATGTGTGACAGAGCCATCTCTTCCCCACACAGCCACTGAGTAGTGCAAAAGAAATGCCAGGGGACCGGGTCTTCCACTCCAGTCAAGGAGGGAGCTTTAGGCAGGGATTCCTCTGTTCCAGGTTCCTGCTTCACGGGTGTTGTTCTCTCCATACACCTTAATTCTACCCCAGCCTCTCACTCCTGTCCTGAACCCTCTCTCGAAGATTATCCTGAACACAGGGCTCCCTCTCTGCCCCTGCTGCCTGTGAGCAGTGCGAAGTGCACCTGTCAGGGAGCAGGCACCCCAGTCAGCTGGGGTTCATGGTGCCTATTCGGCTTCCTTCGTGCAGACCGCAAACTCAAGGACAAGGACCATGCCTTTTTAATTTATTTCTTGTTTTGCCAATCAAGCCACAAGTTTATTGATGACACACACAGGTGGGGACTTGGGTGAACAGGGCATGTGAGTACAATGGACAGAGGGGAATGCATTTCTTTGATGAACATGTTTGCCATGCATCAGCTGGTGTAAAGAGTAAAGGGAAAGTAGTTCAACCTAAGAAGCAGCAAATGCCTGTTCAGCACGAGCTCCCATATGGGTGTGATTTCTGCTAAGTGGTCCCGCTTAGACAGGGAGATCATCACAGGCAATGACAGCACTCGTGATGCCGTGATTTGATGTTCGTTATCCATGGCTGGCAGCCACGGTGATCCCCTTACCCATGAAGAAGGCTGCAAGGGAGCAATTTACAGCACGCTTTACCTGCAGATGGCAAAACCCAGAAGTTACCCAATCTCTGTGGGAGCTGCCTGGCCAAGGAGGATGTGGTCCTGATTAGCGACTGGAGTTTTCACCCAGGGACATGCTGACCTGCTAAGGCTGCATTCTCAGTAGCACCCACTGCTGGTTCTTTGCCATCTGCAAACAGTGGGCTTTGGGTGGATTCAGTCTCTTTCTGTTTGAGACAGCCCACTTATGGGGAGAGGGCTTCCATGAGAAGCTCCCTGTTTCCACTTCTCAGAAAGAGAGACATGAATGACAACAGCGTTTGGACACTCAGCAATTCCCCTGCCCACACTGGCTTTTCAGGCAAACGCATCAGGGGTTCCCCAACCTGAACCTTTGCACAGCCACTTCCGTCTGATAGCAAAGGAAACTTCAAGTCTGAAATGGGCTTGGCAAGCATGTTATTAATAACTGTCATGCGTATTAACAAATTTAATCCAGCCTGCTGCAGAAATGAGTTGTAGCAACGTAACACAGTTTCCCGACACACTTCATCGGTGTACATCTTAATCTGACCCTGATTTTCAACACTGGCATTCGGGTTTTCTGGTACACGTAAAGCCTTGTCTCTCACAGTGGGCTGGGAAATGGGGATCCTGTTTCCAACCATTGAGAAGCCGGCCAAATGCCTGTTGACATTGTGGCTAAGTGGAAAGCCAGCATTTGTGGAATCAGCAAATAGCAGTTTTCTTTGAATGGAAGGACACTTGGATATGTCAAGAGCACAACTGAAAGTTTTAAAGCTTTGAGCACACCATGTATTTTTATGTTCATAGGGGAATGGTCGCTGTTTTATTGGGTGTGCTCTGTTAGCCTTACCACCACCTGAGGGTCTGTCCTCTGTGCCACCTGGGGCCCCAGGTTCATCCCAATCCCCGTCCTTACTCCAAGGCCGAGCCATTGCTGTGAAATCAAACCAAATCTCTATTTCCTCCTCATCCAGGTCCTCATCATCATCCCATTGATCTTCCTCTTCATCCTCCAACTCGTCACTCTCTTCTCTTCCTGAGGTCAGTTTGTAAACGCAGTAGCAGGCACCAGCCCCAATCATCAGTCCTGCTGCCATCCAACCCACTTCCCGGGCCCGACCCATGCTTGTATCCGTTGAAGCCTTGGACCCAGGGAGAGAGGGCCTTATTACACTGGATTGAAGAGGACTCTTAGGATCAGGGTGAATAATGCTGTAGGGTAGTTATCTTCAGGCTCTCCTAGGCTCCTGTGATTCTTGTGATGAGTCTAAGGGTAAGAAAGAATATTAGGGCTTTCAGTTGTGATGGGGTTTGTTCCTGACCAGACAGATAGGAGTTTGAGATCTTGTTGTGAGTGTTGATTACTAGGGAACTATTTCTTTGTTCTTCCCTGTCTTCCCACATCTACCCTCAGAATCTACTTTTGCCCTTCCAAGATCATCAGAGATGGACAGGCTATGGGGCATAATAATGATAGTCTGGCCAGTGACAGGGCCAGCTAGCTCTCAGGCAGTCTCCTTCTTTACCACACACATCTCCCCCTTTTATCACCCAATCCTACCAACACAAGCATGTTTTCTAACCAACCTCTCCAAAAGTCAAGTGAATTTCTTTTTCTTCTCTTCTCTTTTGCTGTTTCCTTCAGGGTGATAGATGGATGGTCTCAAAGAAGGACAACTGAAAAAGGACGTGGGCAGCAATGCAGAGCTGAGAGTGTAGTTGGACTTATCTTAATAGATGCTTTTCCCAGTTTTAGGCTTTTGAGTTAAAATTATTTCTCATCCCCTCCCGACTTTGCTAATGCGGGCCTCCCCGCCCCCCTCTTCGTCCGCCATTTCCCCAGCAAAGGCCGCCACACCCCTTTCCCTGCACTGAAATGGGAGGGGGTGTGGAGAAAGAAGGGGCCAGGAGAGGGCGACTTGGACTTGGCCCTCACAGATCCCAGCCCCTCTCCTCTTTCACCCCTCCTAAGGTCCGAGATGAATCCCACCTTCGAATCCTGCAGCAAGGTTCCAGCCAGCCGAAGCGATTTGCTCCTTCTCTGGCCAAGGCTTGTGCGGCGACCTACAGACCTGCAAACTGACGGGGGACAGAGGGGACGGGAGTGCTAGCTGGACCGACCAGCACCCGGGACACGGTACCCGGATTGTGGAACCTTTCTTTGCTTGGATTCTCTGTAACCACCATTCACACCCTTCACCCCGACCCAAAGCCCGCCACTTCTCCCTAGTAAAACGAACACTGGATGGGATGGGGGTGGGGGTAAGGTATTTAAAAAGTAGATGAGAGAGGTGTTCAGCCCCCATCTGCCCGAACTTGGATGCGCAACCCCTATCCCCTTCCAAGCAGCGCCCACCCTTGCACCGACCTGAGCGGTCCCGGCTAGTTTCCTTCTTCCTTCACACGCCTGCAGAGTAATAGGGGGCTGGTACCCAGTCGGAGGCGACTAACTGGACTTGGGCTCTAGGCGGCTCTGGATCACGTGACGGCCACGTCACCCGTGAGCTCTAGCCCCCAATTTCCACTCCCACAAGCAGTGCGGCAGGCGCATGTAGGCTCCGTACCTCCCCCAATACTTGGGCCCCTGTTAGTCTTTTTCCTAACAGAACCAGAAACCAGAAGTGCTTGCTAATGTTTGAATTTGACTTTCTCTAATTATAGGAAGGAGCAGCATCTTTTCCTTATCTACCCTGCACTCACACTTTCTTCTTCAGGAACTGTTTTATCCTTTCCTTGGCTTTGAAACTCGTGCATCCCTTTCTTTAAGTCCTACCTTTCTCTGTTTTCAGTCTCTGCACCAAAACTGAGGAAAGGGAGCAGAAAAGGAAAGCAACGTAGGAGTGACATTTTTAGTAATACTTTTGATCCATTTATATTTATATTTTGTTTCATCTCTCTTTTTCAATTGGCTGTAACTAATTTGTAATCATAAGAAAAATAAAGCTATTTCCACCTGGAAAAATAAACGAATTCCAATCTTGCTTTTAAAATATATATATAAATAATCATGATTTTCCAGTTCATACTGAGACATCATTGATTTGGCCAAGTTAATTTGTACAACACTGAAAACATTTTCTTCTAAATAGCAGCCTTGAAATAGCATATTACAGTTTGAAAGTATATCCTTACAAACAACACCTGTGTGGTTTTAATATGACTGATAAATTGATAGAAAAATAAGTTAGTAGTGAAGTCAGTGTTCAAGTTTTGACTGTTTCAGATGAGTGACCATTCACTGCCCCTTTCTTTATCCTGGCTGGATTCATAGGTGTTGGAAGAGGGAGCTCTTGTATGAGGAATGGCTTTCACTCTCACCCCAAAGGATGGGTTTAAGGCAGACAGTAACTTCCGACTGCTTTAAATAAACTTTACAAATTAGTAATTTTACACATTACCTGCTTTTCATTCAAAAGGCTTAAAAAACTGATCCTGAAGTCTCATAACACAACACAGAAATCAGCCTGAAATTAGAGAATCCTGTGCTAGCCCATTGACGAACGTGTTGCTTAACAGGTGGAAATTTCATATCCTGAGACTAGTGAGGTCTCCCTACCTTCTGCAATTCAGATACTATCATTCAACCTGTCACCCATAGCTGTGGCGAGTGTTCAGCATTCCAGTGGCAATGGGAATGAGAGTCTGTGGATGATTGAGAATTGCTGCAACACCACTGACATCAGTGTCCTTTCCTGCTCACAGATGCAGAAACAAAGTATAGGACTCCAACCAGTCCCCAGGAGAAAGAGGCCTTTTCACTTCCTGCCTTCCCTAATGGCTTAACTGTACCACACTCACAAACCCCTCAGAATAACCCCAGAACTCAGCAACAAAATATGCAGGAGTTAGTCCCCAGGCACCACCTGTTCATTGCTGGGAGTCATACTCTAAATATAGACCCTCCAGGCAGCCTCTTTCTTAGAATGTTGAAATATGACACCCCAGCTAGAGGCCCTCTTTGTGAGGGGCCCCTGTGTGGAGGAGGCCCTTTCAAGGAGGTAAACCAGGGAACCCATAATGTCTTGATGGTAAATATGAGAAATAAGGCAACGTCACAACTTTCTGATCTTCCTTACGTTTAGACTCATTCACCAGTATTTTTTTAAAAATTTTTTTATTTATTATTTTTATTTTATGTGTATGCGTGTAATTGCCTGCATATAGGTAAGTGCATCCATGTCGTGCAATGTCTGCAGAGGACAGAAGAGACTGTCGGATCCCCTGGAACTGGAGTTATGGACAGTTGTTAGCTTCCATGTGGGTGCTGGGATTCGAACCTGGATCTTCTGCAGGAACAGCCAGTGTTCTCATCTGCTGAGCCATCTCTCCAGTCCCATCACTCACCAATGTTATCCCACCTCTATCTTATTGTTCTGTCATCATCACGTTATACTGTTCCATGATTCTTTACAAAGTTCTCTTTGACAAGTGAATTCTGTTTCTGAAACCTTATGAACACAGCACTCAGATTCAAGTGTTTTTTTGGCTGCTATGAACTTATGTAAGCTACTCTTGTTTGTTTTGAATGCATACATTAAAAAGAACTAAGAAATATGCAAAGCTTAGTACAGGCAGATGCTTTGGTTCTGCAATATGGACTCATTTACACAATATTTTATCAAATTTCAAGGACAAAAGCTTCCTCCTACCTCTCTTCACTATTATAAAATGTCTCCCCTTTAATATATTACTTCAGTATGAAACACAGAAAAAAAACATATTCTCAGCTTGTTAAGACTTCCAAGTGTGAATCCACTCCCTCTCAAAAACATCTTTAACCCCGTGGGCATAAACCTTTTCAGATCTTTTGCCTCTTTGATCCACAGTTCTTACCAAGGAACCTAGGGGCTACCATTTAAAGACTACTTTCCTCTCCATTATATGAACACCAACAAATATTTGTTTCAAGACATACTAGATGCCTGATACAGTATTTTAAAGTGAAATAGGAAAATCTGAAGTTCCCAGACAAGTCTGTTAAACATTCTTGAGCCTACAAAAAAGAACCAACCAAATAAAAAACCCCTCTAAAGTCACTTTCCAAAGAAACGTTTTGATGGCCACACGTGAAACATGATGCAAAATATCTGAAAACAAAAATGGATCAGTGGTTGGTAACACTGTGAGTTATGCAGGGTGAAAAAATAGGGAAGGTTGGCATCTTGAAAAGCTGTAGTACTTTTGATATTATGTTCTTAGTTGAGGTGGTCTCATTTCAAGCAGTAGAATCAAATTCAGTTAACACAAACGGGGAATACTGAAGATCAGGGTCAGCTCTCAGGGGTTTTAGGTAGGAGTAAATGACAGATGGATTGTTTCACATGCCATAAAGTCACTGATTTTCAGGTTTTTTGGTTCTCTGCTCAAATTTTAGTGAGAGAGCTTCTGTTTGGTGTGTTTTGGGCACCCTTTTACCATGGAAATATAGAGTATGTAAAATGGAAAATGCACTCTCTTTCTTTAAAGCGAAATGTAAATTGTTTCAAATGTTGATTTAAAATTTTTAAAATTTACATGGGTGTGTCCCTGTTTGTATGTGCATCATGTGCCATGGAGGCTGGAGGCCAGAAGAGGGCATCAGATCCCCTGGAATTGGAGTTACAAGTGTTTGTGAGCCACCCAATGTGGGTGCTGAGAACTGAATCCCTTCCCTCTGTCTTCTGCAAGAGTAGCAAGTGCTCTTAACCACTGAGCCATCTTGACAGCTTCAGTGTCATTTTCGAGTCCTTTAACTATTTTGCATAATAAGCTAGCTGTGATTAAGGTGCTGGGGACCTGTCTACCACAACATACTGTAGTTTTCATGTCTATATTACCTGATCATTAGAAAAGGATAGTATGAAATCGCAATGCATAACGTTACCCTTTGGGCCAAGGCCATCTGGCTTCCCTGACAGGATTCCATAGGGCTGCATACACAGTTCAGGTTGCTGTCCTGAGTGTTGCATAATCTACCCCAGATTTTGTTTGTAAATTGAGAGCAGATACTTCTGTCAAGGAAAGACTCTTATTCATAGAGACATATATAGATCTAGATCAGAATGTTCAAACCCAGGAGTCTTTGTATTCTCTCTCTGTTAATAAGTCACAAGGAGAAGTATCTTTCAACTTGAGTAACAACTGAATAATTGATCCTGTCAGGGGTCATAGGGGGTTTTGTCTGTCTTCCTTGCCCATACTCTCCCTGCAGACAAGCTAGTACTTGGGAATCCATAGCCACAGAAAATTTTGTGAAGAAAATGGACTTAAGCAAGGGCATTCATTCACCCTAAGAAGTAGCTTTTAGCTGAGGAAGCTTGAAGTACTCTTTATACGTTATGGGGATGATTCTGTCAAGAAAGGCCTAAATGTTCCTTTCACCTTAGCCATTAACTTCTCTTCCAGACAGTGCTTATGTGGGAACTACCAACATTTTCCTCTCTCCTTTTATGTTTTTCTGTGCTTCAGTAAAGCTCTTTGCCATACTTGATCTTTCTCTAAATACAAAGCCACACAGTTTGTTTGGCCTCTGTTTACTAAATTCCAAATCATGTCTCAGTTTGGCTTTCTAGAAGTTACACTGACATAAAATTTCCCAGAGATGTGCTTGTTCCCAAACTCTCCAGAATCTTGATTTACTCCTTTATTAACTATGGATTTTGAAAGCCGTATTCGGATAACAACCTTGTATCCAAACTCCTAGGAAATATCTCACAGAAGACTCCATGTTTTGAAAAGCTTGCATTACACTTTGTATGGTGTTGTTTTTGTACTATGCATTAGTTAACCTTGTTTGGCAGTCAGCAACTGAAACCAAACCCACTTAATTTAAACAATGAAAGAAAGTAATTATTCCTTTTTCTGTTTTTAAAAAAGTTAAAATTGAAAGTGAATTATTGAGATTATCAAGTTAATCAGTGAAATGGTTTAACAGTAATTGCTAGATGCCAAGTTCAGTCAAGTTTGCTTTGGTCTTTGTGTTCCTGTAATACCTATTTCATTTTCAGATGATGTTCTCTATTTGTATTCCAGTGTATTTCATAATGATCTGGGTATCCCTTGCTTGTCAGTGTGTGTGCCTTTTTATCTTACAGAGGTGGTTTCTCCTCCCTCTTTTCTGTTACCAGCTTTGGAGAGCTGAAAGCCTCTTCTTGGTTAACTTATGTCCATGAAAGTATGTTGCCTAGATTTACATATTCACAGACAGGCTGATTAGTTCTTTTGGTTGTGCTATATTCATTCAGCTGTGTTATGTATTAGGCCCCAGAAGATTTTGAGTAAAGTGGGTAACACTTTCCACCAAGTGAGAAATGTGGGACTTTTAGAGGCCATCACCTGACATTGATCTCTTATCTGTACTCTTTAAATTTTTCTAAAATGAAAATACCTTTATTGCATTTTTTTCCTCATAAATAGAATTCAGGCTGGGAGCAGGGGAAGGCAGGGTGAAGTCAACAACAAAAAGTATTAAGAAAGTAAAAGATATACTCTCATTCCAGGTTTCCTTTTCTGATGGCTTATTCACTTCAGATTTGGACTAGATTTCAGAGGAAATGGCAGATATTCATAGCCTGGAGGAGGGAAGGTCGAGGGAGAAAAGGCTGTCCCAGGAGTCTAGGGAAGGAAGAGTCAATCTTTTAAAGATAGTACAAGTGGCCATGAGCCCCAGGGGAAGATGCTGTCCTGTTTTGGTAATAGGAGGAAGGGAAGCACAAGTAGAGGAAGATGGGATTAGCAAAGAAGAAAGAGTTACAAGGCCTAGAATGGGGGAGGGAATGGAGGGGGGCGGGTCCTCTTCTGCCGCACTGCTGGTGGGAGGGGAAATTGGGGATCCGAGTTGGTGGATGACGTCGCTCTCACGTGACCAAGAGCTGACGTGTGCTGAAGTCCTTCTTGTCCTGGTCGTTGTTCCCGTCTGAGTACCAGCTCCGTATTACCCTGAGGGCGGGCAGGCCTGCAGCAGAGGGAAGAAGGAGGAGGAGGAAAAAGAAATTGTCCCAGATCCCTGCAGGTAAGTGCTTGAGGTATTCCATAAAAGTGGGGGTGGTGGAGGGCGGAGGGCGGAGACCGTCGCAGGTCCGGGGGCGCCGCCGTCGTCTCTCCCACTTGCCGCCTGCTTTCCAAGACATATGTCCCGCCTGCAGCCCATTTCCATGCTTTACAACGGTGAGTAGGGGGTGTTTGGGCAGGTGCCCAGAAATCGGGAGAGGGGAAATCTGCGAGCTGAGGCCTGAAATCCGGAAAGGGAGCTGTGGCCTGGGTGTTGGCCCCGGGTCCACCAGGACTGTGCCGGCGGGGAAAGGCTGAACCTGGGGGCAGGGGTGGTGAGGTGCAACGTGATGTCAGCCGAGCCCTGAGCAGGGTAACAGGGGTGGGAAACCTTTAACAACCAGGCCTCCGAATTAGGAAAGAGTTTCGTTCTCTGGGGACTGGTCCGTCCACCAAGCACTCAGTAGCGGCTGTTTCCCATCTTTCTGCCTGTGGCCGCGTCTTCCTGACTATGGCTCTGTGTCCAGTGGGTCCAAGTCTCTCCCGGGTGGCCAGTCTTTCCGTAGGTTGCGGCACAACGCCAGGGAAGAGAAGAGGAAGGAAATTAACCCAATCAGTGAAGGTCGATTTGAGGGTAAGACCGTCTGGAGACCCTAGAAGCGGCAGGGGTGGAAAAGCGGGGAAAACCAGAGAAGGTAATCTAGGTTTAGGTCTGAGTCTGAATGTGTTTCTCACACTCCCTGGACCTGTGGAGAAATGGCGTGCGCTGTGTGTGTGTGTGTGTGTGTGTGTGTGTGTGTGTGCGCGCGCACGCGCGCACTCGCGGGGGTAGGGGTGGGGGTGGGGGGCGGGATGACAGCAGGAAAACCTATCAGATAGTTTGTTCATAATCCTCCTCTCTCAACAGCACTTAGTGCCCATGTTTTCGATCTGTCATCCTGCAGGTCCGCTGTAGCAGGTGGCACCTCTTGAAGCAAGGGAGGAAGTTTCCCCAGGATCAGTAGAGGTCGGTGTTGGCGTGGGGGCTGCCTGGAATGGGGGAAGGGTTAGAAATCAGCCTCGGTTTGGACAGGCTCACACAATTATACTTTATTTTCTTACATCTGTCCATTACAAGCTAGGGAGGAGGGCAGGCAGGCAGGCGTGCGCATGTTTGGGATGGCACACTGAGGTTTAGCAAGAATCAGAGAACCTAGATGGTGAATCAGAAAAGCAGCAAATACACAAGTTAATGCATCAAGCCCTCAGTTTTCACTGTTTCTGTTCTCTCTGAAGATCACAGAGTGTTGGGCGTGGCATACTTAAAGGAAGAAAAGAAAGGGCAGACTGCCTGCCTCAAGGAGGTTAGTGCTAGGGTGATATTCGGGGTTGGGGGGGTCACGGGGACTACAAGGGAAGTTTTGGTGAGTGCCAGCAGAATTTGTGGACTTCATTGTCTCTATGCATGCTTAGGAGTGAAGACAAGAAGGAAGGGGTACTGACAGTGAAATGAGGGAGATAAGGTTTTTCTCAGCAGTCTGTGTTCCCTACCCAACACTCCATTACTGTTCTCTCCTTCCTCTGTACAACTGTCTTCATGGGGCAACACAATGAACAGAGAAAGTCAAACCCTGTTTTCTTCTTCCATTTCTAGTTCTACCTCCAGAACCAGCTATCCTGGCCTGGAAGTGACTGAAGATCACTCTCCACAGGCCTGCCATCAGGCTCACAGTCCTCTTCCCCCACCCAGAGTGAAGACCCTGTTTCTTGGTCCCTGCTGTTGTCAGGGACGATTGCATGGGCTACGTCAAGAAAGTAGGCTGGGTGACTGCAGGCCTGGTGATTGGGGCTGGAGCCTGTTACTGCATTTATAGATTGACTCGAGGAAGAAAACATAACAAGGAGAAAATGGCTGAGGGAGGCTCTGGGGATGTGGATGATGCTGGAGACTGTTCTGGGGCCAGGTATAATGACTGGTCTGATGATGATGATGACAGTAATGAGAGCAAGAGTATAGTTTGGTATCCACCTTGGGCCCGGATTGGCACTGAAGCGGGGACCAGAGCTAGAGCCAGGGCAAGGGCCAGAGCTACCCGGGCCCGTAGAGCTGTCCAGAAAAGGGCTTCTCCTAATTCAGATGATACTGTTTTGTCCCCTCAAGAACTACAAAAAGTACTCTGTTTGGTTGAAATGTCTGAAAAGCCTTACATTCTTGAAGCAGCTTTAATTGCTTTGGGTAACAATGCTGCTTATGCATTTAACCGAGATATTATTCGCGATTTGGGTGGTCTCCCAATTGTTGCAAAGATTCTCAATACTCGAGATCCCATTGTTAAGGAAAAGGCTTTAATTGTCCTAAATAACTTGAGTGTGAATGCTGAAAATCAGCGTAGGCTTAAGATATACATGAATCAAGTGTGTGACGACACAGTCACTTCTCGCTTGAACTCATCTGTGCAGCTGGCTGGACTCAGATTGCTTACCAATATGACTGTTACTAATGAGTACCAGCACATGCTTGCTAATTCCATTTCAGACTTTTTTCGTTTATTTTCAGCAGGAAACGAAGAAACTAAACTTCAGGTTTTGAAACTCCTTCTCAATTTGGCTGAAAACCCAGCCATGATTAGAGACCTACTCAGGGCTCAAGTACCATCTACATTGGGCTCCCTCTTTAATAAGAAGGAGAACAAAGAGGTTATTCTTAAACTTCTGGTCATTTTTGAGAACATAAATGACAATTTCAAATGGGAAGAAAATGAATCTACTCAGAATCACTTTTGTGAGGGTTCGCTTTTCTTCTTTTTAAAAGAATTTCAAGTGTGTGCTGATAAGGTTCTGGGAATTGAAAGCCACCATGATTTTTTAGTGAAAGTAAAAGTTGGAAAATTCATGGCCAAACTGACAGAACATATGTTCCCAAAGAATCAGGAATAACTTTTTGAGTCTGTAGTATAACAGCAACACACACTGTAAACTATTCCTTTTCTCCATCTTGTTTATATGGTAAAGAAATCCTTTCAGCTGCCAATTTTGAATAATGAATATCATACTGTATCATAGATGCTGATATTTAACCAAGTTTGTCTTCAGGTTTAAGCTGGATGAATGGATAGCACTACTTGTCCTGGAAACATGTTTGTTGCTTTTTATCTCTATGCCTAGATTGAAATATTTTATTGTTTCTTCTGCATTAAGTGACAGTGAACGAATTAATCATAAGTAAGCTCCCTTTTGTCATCTGCATTACTTTCATTTGTGCACCTTCAATAAAGTTGTATGTTAATGCTGGAAAGAAAAAAAAGGAAGAAAGAAACTATCCTTGTCTTTTGGTTTATAATCTAGTTGTAGGGATAAGAAACACACAAACTAAAAGAGGTTATCTGGAGCACACATTCCTTGTCAGATGTGTGTCCTCAACCCTCAGAGGAGGCAAAGCCGTTGGTGGCTGGCTAGATGAGTCAGCTAAAGCTTCAGGGAGGACACAGCCATTGCCCTGAATGGAGCACAGAATTTAGTGCATGGCACAAGACAAGAGGGAAGGGGGAATGATGTGAGAAAGGCACTAAGGAAGGAAAGCTTTTCTTATGGCAGTCACAGAAGTCTTCTTAGAGTGGAGAGTGTGGGGAGTAGAATTTAATAATCGCAAAAACTGAATGAAACCAGTTGTAGAAAGCTTTCTGAATGTATTCTGAACTAGAAAAGAATTGGAGTCCATATAAATGTCCCTGCTCGGACTGCGTCATCGAGGATGGTGTAACAAAAGGGTTCCTTTCAAACTCTGGTGGTGGGCATTTGACAATACATATTGTTAAGCCTTAAAATATGTAAACCTTTTGTCCTAAGGAGATAACTGAATAATTAGCCAAAGATTGTATGGGCAAGGCTGTTCATGTGAGCACTGTCTTAAAGTAATACACATTGGGAACAACTTTAGAGTCCAAAACACTGAATTAGTTATATAAACAATATCCAATATATATGATAAATATGCTCTTGGAAATCAATATTCTCTGAAAACAATATTCATAATGCAATGCTAATTGAGAAAGGTAAGTTAGAAAGCAGTATTCAGAGTATTATTTCATTTGGGAGCATGTTAGATCATGTTAAAAAGGACACTAAAATCTATGGAATTATATACATACACCCAATAGTAATAAGAATTATATTTGGATGAAAGATAATGAATGATATCTACTTTTTGTACTTTAATCCATCTACATTTTCTTACTTATCAAAAATTAATATTTATTTTAGGAAAGTTTTGAAAAAAAGAAACTACTGGGAAAGCAGCAGGTGATTAATTTGAATGTGTACTGAGTGGAAAAGTATTTAGGCCAAAAATGAAGTGGTTTGAAGTTTCTTCTTCAGAATGATAAATGACTGGTGAAGATAAGGTTTATTGTGAGATTGCAGCGATAGAATTTTACAAAGTACTCAATATTTTGGCATATAGTAGTTAATTAAGAAATGTGAGTATCCCCAAGTACACAGAATGTAGTATTAATGGGTTTTGGTTGACTTTTGTTTTGCTGGGGCATTCTGCCATGCTTCAGTGTCGTTTAATAAATAATAATAATAAAGGCTAACATTTATTACGTGATTACTGTGTAGAGTCATTTTTGCAAGGTAACTGTTGAAATAATTTCTCAAAGGAATGAGATTTAATCTCATTTCCAGGGACTGAAAGTGGCTCATCAGTTATCAGCTCTCCAGACTCCACAGTATAATCCCTTGTTGGTGTGAAGATGAGATCCTTGTTTGGATATGAAACCAAGAAAAGGTGCAGTCTTCTGTCTGGTTATAACTCAGTTTGGGCTCCAAGTTTTAACATATGTACTTTAATGTCTGTAGTAGACAAAAAGAGCAGCGGCTGGCTGGTTTCACGCTGTTGGCTATGGTAACACTAGTAAGTCATGCACGTATGGGAACTCATTTGTTAGTTTTAAGGCTACTACAGGAGGAAATGAAATTAACATTTTTCTTGTCCCTATTAGGTAAGAGAAAAATAGATTTTCATGATCGGCGGGATGGTGGATTCATTTAAAATAAATAGAATTTGATGTATTTGTATGATAATCAGATGCTCTATTGTCATCTGAATGAATTAATCCACCTTTCAGAGGAGAAGACTAGGCTGCAAATAAGAATTTGAGAGAGCTACCAGAGTTTAGAGGAAAACTGAGGATTGGGACCTGGATAGCTCCCTGGATAAGGTGCAGGGGCAAAGTGGAGGACTGTGAAAAAAAGAACTAGATAAGGGACTGCGGCAGCCGGTGAGAGAAACAGAGTTGAATCTGCCTGACTTAAAATTCCTTCTTATCAAAGGATAAAAATGAATGTTCTTTTGAGAAAATAGAGGCAAATAAAAAGTTGTCCCTTAAGCCAGTTATGTACAGTGACTACACACATGCACACAACTCAAATCAAACTATACTGAGCTTGCAGCACTGAGTGACTTTTATACCTGGGATGCAAAAACGGTTAAATGGAGTAATGGGAAGGGAAGTGGCAGTGTGGTTGGCACAATCCTGACTGGCATCCTCTGCTCCTTTTCTCCAACCCCTGTTCCTTTTTGTTCTTCCCCGTTCGCCCTTCCCTCCCTCCTTCCCTTTTTTGTCTCTATATCCTCCTGGGAGATAAGTTGGTGGTAGTCCGTCTATGCTACTGTGCTTTTGAGAAGGGACAGTGACTGCCTAATTCTGATGATAAAATGCCATTCACATGGGGACATTTATGTAGAATAATATTTGTCATTGCTGTGGACATAAAGTGATTCTGTGACTGGATGCCTAGGTTTTTTTGAAGCCTTGTTGAGCAGAATAGAGGCAGAATGGACTATTCTTAGTTTGGTGCTCTCCTATGTGTCCTGCATGTACTTTTGATGTCCCTATCCCTGGTACTATTTAGGCTGAGAAACGTGCTTGTTGGGCAAGTGCTGGATGAGACAAGTGTGGGACATGCCTAGGTCACATTCTGATGTCCCATTGTTTCCCTAGGATGTTGTCACTCTCAGTCAGTTTAGGAAGGGTAGGTTCAAGGATTGTGAGTGCAACTGTGGCAGCTCATGGGTCAGGGAGAAGGCAGTTTCCTCTCATTACAGATACTAGAGACTCAGAGGATATCCTGCTATTTTGGTTTTGTTTTCATCTAATAGTTTTAGGGTCTATGTCAATCCAAATGTGCTCAAAGATAATTTTCTAATAATGGGGTTCAGTTGGTTATATATTGCTCCTCACCACCACAAAGCATAACATTTCAAACCTCAAAAGAAACTCCAGTGTGGGTAGACAAATTGATGTAGTTCAGATAAATTAGATATTCATGGCTTTCTTTGGTTTTGCCAGGTTCCCTTGAGAATGGCTTTTAACATAGCAATAACATATGAGTATTTTCTGTGCCAGCTGTTTACATTAGGTTTGCATCCCACCCCAGGCTGAAGGTTGTCCCTGATTTGTCTGTTGAAGCTGTGGCTCCTTCTTGCTTTTTGCTCAGAGCTGTGTCAGCTCAGTTTAGGGGTTCCCAGCATGCTCTGCCTGAGGGCGTGGTGGGGGCAGGTTAAAAGATATTTAGAACTCAGGATGCTATGCGTCTGTGTTTCACCTTCTCCACTGGGGCCTTGTCAGGCATGAGTTGAGGGCTTGGGCAATGTATGTGCCTGAAGAGGTGTGTGGGAGGAGGGGAGGAGAGGGGATGGGAAGGGTAGGCAAGGAATTCAAGCTCTTCTGGAGTGCTTTGTCCTGGTGGTTTCAAGCAAATGTAATTTGATTCTCTATTGAGAGTGGGCTGACCATTAACATCCCAAGTGCTGAAAGAAGCTTTAATCTAAGCAGCTTTGTTTGTGCATAGAGCTTGCTCATTTATTGAGCCTTTCTAAGCTTGCAAAGGACATACCATGCTATTGAATAGAGTGAGACTTTCTTTAGACAGTAAATCCATAATGATAACTTATATTAGTTTGAAAAATAGAATTAAACATACCAGATTCATAGAATCTGCTACTCAGAACATTTTCTTCCTAAGATCAATTAGATGTAGGTCAGAATTGAAATCATCACAGAAAGTTGTTTATTTAGTATGCAGGGAACCTAACCAACTTAATTACCTGTACTATCACGCAAGAGAACCTGGTGCATCATATCTGCTATGGAAATTGACTTGTCTCTAAATTCCAGTGCATATATTCAAGAGCTCAAGCACAATTCTCCCTGAATATAATTATAAACTTTGTCTACCTAGATGCTTCATTAAAGCATCAGTGTGTGCTGGTTTTTTGACTATTAAATCATCAAACTGGCTGTTAGAGGTTAAGGGGTACATACTCTATTTTAGCAATGTGACTTACTGTTTTTTTAAAAAATCATTATTTTAAAGATTTGTTTTTATTTTATGTGGCTCTTTGTGTGTATGCCATGTGCGTGTGGGTGACCTTGTATGCCAGAAGATGACATTGGATTCCCCGGAGTTGCAGTTATCATCAGTTGTGAGCTGCCTGACATGGGTACTAGGAACTGAGCTCTGGTCCTTTGCAAGAGCAGTAAGTGCTCTTAACCGCTGATTCATCTCTTTAGCCCTAAACAAATTTTAAGTGATAATAGTAGTATGAATTTATGGGCTACAATGTGATATTTGATATATGCATACATTTCACAATGATTAAAGCATACCATTTAACATCCACATCACTTCATAGGCTTAAATGTTTTGTTGTGAGAATATTTAAGGTATTAAAGATTGACTTTTAAATAACTGTATTAACAATAGTCACTATGCGATACAGTAGAACACTAGAACTCTTCTGGTCTAACTGAACATTTGTACTCTTTGATTAATATACCCCTTTCCCCTTTCCCTCTCCCTACCTCTCAGCCCTGGTAAATCCACTCTACATCAGTGGGTTACAGCCATATCTGGGTAATGGGAATAGCCTCTCAAGCAGGACTGATAATACTTTTGAGACCCATATGTAACTCTGGCTGGTCTGGAATTCACTGTGTAGACCAGACTGGCATTGAACTCAAAGAGAGCCTTCTGTCTCTGCCTCCTGAGTGTTCATTTAAAGGCATGTGCCACTGTCCAGCAAATTCATTTCGTTTGGTTGTACAACACACACAGAAATGTGATTTCTGGGTCATAAGGCAATTTGTTTTTTAATTTTTAAAACACACACTGGTGGGGCTGGAGAGATTGCTCAGTGGTTAAGAGCACTGTTTGCTCTTGCAGGGGAGTGGGTTTCGAATCCTAGCACTCACATGAAGGCTAGCAACCACCCATAACTAGTTCCAGGGAATCTGACACCCTATTCTGACCTCCACAGGCATTGTACAACATGGGTGCACTTACATATGCAGGCAATACACCCATCCATGTGAAATAAAAATTAAAAAAATTAAAAACAAAACAAAACAAAACCCCCCAAAACACCACACACTGGTTTCCAAAAGAACTTTATATCCTTACCCCATTCACCTGCTTTTTGTTTGTGTTGTTTCTTTGTTTTGGTTTTTGTTTTTAGCCTCCCTTGTGCTGAGATTACCAGCAAGTACTGTGACATCCAGCTTCTATTTGTATTCTTATAAATCAAATTATTTGCTTATTTTTAAATGATGAACTATTTAAATTCCCCTTGTATTCAAAATATTAATTCTTTGTCCCATTCTGCAGCTTTGTTCTTAGTTTTATATAATGTCATTTACATATTATTTGATCTTGTTTCGTGTGCCTTGATGTTATAACCAAGAAATAATTGCCTGGACGAATGAATGTCAAAGAGCTTTCTCCCTATCTTATTTGAGAGCTACATAATGTTAAAACTGAACTCCTCTATGCAATGTATTCTCCCTCACATATTGATTAATGTCCTTTTTCTCTGAGAATTTTTCAGTGGTAAACAGTACCCTCTGATAAAATGGTTTTGAAACCCAGGGCTGGAGAGAAGGCTCAGTGGTTAAGAACACCGGCTGCTCTTACATAGGATCTGGGTTCGGTTCCCACCCCCACATGAGTAACTCTGGTTCCAGGGGATCTGATGACCTTTCTGGACTCTGAAGGCATTGTACACATGATATACTTACATGCATGTAGGGAAACCAGTCATACGCATAAAATAAAAAAACTGAAGCTTTATAAAAATTGATGTATCTTCAGCTGATTTGTGTTCTTATGTTTTCTAAAATGTGAATTTAACTATGTTCATGCTATTTTTGTGACTTTCAACAACCTGTAATAAAATCCAGACCTAATATATATATATAAATCCATAAAGGAAAACTTTAATTTTTTATTTTCTTCCATAATGTAAAATGATTCAAATGGATTTTTTGTTAGTAAAAATGGAATACAGAGAAGATTGAATAAAACAAATACTTAAAATAGCTTATAAATCTTCAACCCATTTAAACTGATTCAGAAAATGCTCTTTAAATAATGAATTATTGTTTATCATCTTCAGTCAGCTGTTATTTAGGTCTATAAAATGTATAGTCAAAAACTGGAAGTGTTACCAGTGGTGAATGGGATGTTGATGATAATGGTGGTGGTGGTGGTGATGCATGCCTTTAATCCCAGCACTTGTGAGGCAGAGGCAGGTGGATCTTTGTGAGT